ATAATTAATATTAATCACGGTTATAATTGAAAAAATTATCAAAAAACTCATCATAAGCTACTTCAAGTAATTTATCAATAAGTTAGTTTATATGCATTCAAATGATTACTCAAAAAATAAGTCAACTTATAAACTAGCTTACGTATGCCAAACATTGTCTGATATAGCTTATGGGGCAACATTCTCAGCCATTAAAACAGATTGATGGTAAGTGCTTACCGGATAAAAGTCATCATCATCACTTACCCAATAAGACACCCAATCATTATCTTTCGTCTTATCGGGTAAGATTCTTAATTCCTATCATGTTTACCTGATAAAATAATTAAACTGATAAGCGCTTAACAAGGTAAATATTTAGTAAATAAACCCCTTAGGAATTTATGTGGTAGAAGAGAAAAATAATAAAGTACGAAGTTTCATCAAACAAGACCTAGTAATTCATGCGGCAGAAGTGCAAAACAATAAAGTATGAGGTTTTGTCTAACAATACTTGGTAAGCCAAGTGGTAGAAGTGAAAAATATTAAAGTATGAGTTTTCATGAAACAAGACTTATAATTAGGGACTCTTTACCCAAATTCTTACACGATAAGTGTTTACCTATAGGAGTCAACATTATAATTTATTTTAACGAGTAAGATTTCATTAAATCAAAACATATTGAATGCAACAATTTACTGGGTAAGTGCTTACCTGGATAAGAGTCGTAATCTTCATTTACAGGGTAAGACTTTCCATCCTTCTCGTCACTCATACCCGATAAGATTATTGGCCCTTGTCATATTCATCCGATAAGGAAAATTTATTCGGTAAACACTTACCAAGTAAGCATTTAGTAAACGGCCCTTAGTAATTCTCGTGGTAGTAATAAAAAAGTTGAAAAGTATGAGGACACGTTCTTCCTTTTTTTAGCCAAAACGAACTTCTTTGTTCGTGTCTCCAAAAGACTTGGACTCGTAGTTTAAAATTTATGGAACTCGAACTCAATTGCTCGATCGAGGGAAAGGCCATTCGGCAAGACAATCTACCAAGGCCTTGTAACTTATGTGATGGAAATGAGAATTATAAAGTATGAGGGTGTAAAATGTAAATTAAGTCATGTCTTGTAATTTTTGACATTTAAGTTTGAATTTTATTTCTACAGAAAGTTGTGTATGATGATAGTGAGCCTCATCGTCCTAGTCTCATTGCAGAGGAAGAAAGAATGGAACCACTTCTGAAGAAGCATGGCTGGTGTGTTTTCTGATTTTAATTTTCTATTACAACTTGAGAATATATATATATATATATATATAGGGTTGGATTTACGTGAGATCAAGGGTTTTTTGTGAGACCCATGAGATCAATTTATGTTTATTGATCAACTTTATAAGCTAATGATCTAATTATCTAAAGTTGCACGGTGGCAATTTTATAATTAGTGGAAGTCTAGTGGCAATTTTGTGATTATAAATGTTTAGATTGTAGATCTAATCCAAGGGTTGAGAATTGGTTTTACGGGTCTCACGAAAAACCTTTGATCTCACATAATCCCAATTCTCTCTCTCTCTTTATATATATATAGATATATATATATATATATATATAAATTAGGGCGCAAATCAGTTTTAACCAGAAAAATGTTGAGAATCGTAAGAATCAATTTCACGTGTGAAACTTACAGTGTTATTTGATATATGAGACAAACAAAACTGTTTCGCATGTGAAACAAAACATATCCATACTTTTGATATATAAAACACAGACATATACACATGAATAGTAATATACCTTCTTGAATTTTAGCCTAAGATAAAACTTATTGAATTGTTACGGTTAGTGCCTTTCATTTAATCTATCTATGTGTGTGTGTGTGTGTGTGTATATATATATATATGTATATGTATATATATATATATGTATATGTATATATATATATGTATATGTATGTGTGTGTATATATATATATATGTATATGTATGTTGGGGGGGTAATAGTTAAATGAGAATAACAAAAGGGTTGAGAACCATGAGAACCGGTAAGCAATATTGTTTCATAATGTGTTTATTTTTTATGTGTACTTTTTATTTCACATTTGTAACAACAATATTCTTTCACATGATTAGTGGTTCTTACGATTCTCAACTATTTTTTTAAGTTCTTATTTAGTTGTGTACATAAATAGTCGATCTTAAATTTATAAGTTTTTCAATTTTAGGTGGATCAGTAGCAACTGGGCTTTTTTAAACGAACCACCGAATATCTCATCAAAGGCTGCATACAATTACTCTGCACAGTTCCATGTTGCCCATAAGCACCTCGACAACTTCAACCTCCATCCTGCTCTTGGTACCATTGTTGCTTAAAACCACAACCGATCTACTACAGAATAATTGTTTTTCCTTAACAACATCAAAGTCATGTATTGTGTGGATTTTTTCTAATTATTCATCATTTGTGATGTTTTCTGATGTAAAAATCTCATTTTACCCACATTTTATAAAAGTATATCCAAATTGTGTTTTTACTGAACTGATCAGACATACAATCCTAAAACATATATATATATATATATATATATATATGTTTGTATTTTAATCATAGTTATTAATTTAAAGCTTTGTTTAATCTATGAGATGCTTGCAGCCACTTGTATGTTTTTTTAATGAACCAACGTTCCCTTCGTTTATGACCTCTAAGTTATTAGCACGACGCCATCGAAAAGACAATAATTTGGTCTTATCATGAAAGTGGCGTATCAACCATATAGAATATATTAATTATTCATATAAATTAATTATTAAGTATTAATAGATATTAAATGTATATTATATCTAATATTAATTTTACATTATTAATTGATATTAAATTCCAAACCATTAATCAATTTTAAAGTGAATTGTGGATTTGGTCAGTGTATTTTGATATTTTTTATTAGAGTATCTATAATATGTTTATTATGAATTTGATTCTTGTGGCATTCAATTTGTTTTGAATATGGGAACCTCTGACTACGCATTTGTTAACTCAGTTAAATCAAGGGCCATTTTGTCTATTCTTTTGTATTTTTCCTATAAAAAATAAAAACAATATTTTTATGCACAAATATAATATATATATATATATATATATATATATATATGATATCAAAATAAATAAAATAGGATATTATTTTATGATTTTATTTGTTTAAGTTAAAAAATTAATTATATTAAATACAAACTAATTTTATTGTTTTATTATTTTTGTCTATTTCGATATGAAAACCTAGTTGACGTTTGTATACTGATTTGTTCAATTTTAAGTTATAAAGATAAGAGTGTATATGAATATTTTATTTAGTTAAAATCTAAATAGTTGATTTTGAGTTTTTGAATAAAAATAATATGAAAACTGGAAATCTAATTTTAGGATGATAAAATTGAAGTTCATTTCTTAGTGGTGTTCGATGATTTTGATGTTGAAATATCAATAATAAGCTTGTTTATTGCAACGTTAGAAAAAAAAAATAATCATCTTAAACATAATTAATTTTTTAATTTCAAATCTTAAAACAATATCTTATTTTATTTGCTCAAAATAAGATAATATATGGTTTCTTTAAATTAATTTTTTAATTACATTAAAACCACATATTTTTTCACCATTGCAATAAAACAATAAAATTAAATCATATTTAATATAATAAAAATTAAAATAAATTAAATCATACAATAATATCATATTTTATTTATTTTGATATTGTTATATGTGTGTGTGTGTTTTTAAAAATATTGTTTTTATTTTTTATATGAAAAAGATAAAGAAAATAGGCAAAAGGCTAAAATGATCCATGATTTAACGAAGTTAATGGAAGTGTTAGTCAGAAGAACCATAACCAAAACAAATTGAATACCACAGGAACCAAATCTACAATAAATATACCATAGGGACCCTAGTAAAAAACATCAAACTATAGGGACCAAATCCACAATTCATTAATATTAATTATCAATTATTTAGAATTATTATTAATGTTTGTCACTTTTGAGGGATATCATCCCTCAACTTCGTTTTCTCATATTCAGTCTCACACGTTTGTCACTTCGTAATGCTTTTTATCCCTATTTCTAATGTTCGTTAATTTTTTCTGGTAAGTCTAATCAAATGAAGATTAATTTAGTCATTCGATGTATTTTCTTATTTTCTTATTTTCTATTAAAATAATTATAAATAAATTTACATATATGTACAAATCTGCATGTGTAGAACCCCCCCCCCCCCTTCCCCGAAGAAGTAATCGTTGGTTATGAACACAACCACCACCACCAACGCCTCTCTTCCTTCCCCCACCACCGATGTCTCTCCTCCTAGAAGCATATGTGAAGCTCACTACCATCGTCGATGTGTTGCTTGTAGAACTCCATCCCTTGTACTTTTTTCGATAGAGTCATACCACTTTTGGATACGTTAATGGTGGTAGGTTGGGTTCACAATGGTGGGATGGATTCACGGTGATGGGGTGGGTGTTGGAAATTGTATGTAAGGTTAGAGGTTTTCCTCCATCCTACATTGGTAGATAAAGAAACTCTAGAGAAACTTATAAGGCTTTCTCTAGAATTGGGCTTTTGAACATGAGTAGACTCATGATGGGGGTCTTGAGTGGAAGGCCTAACGCACACGTGCGTGCATGGCCGAGGCCACGAGCGCATGATTCACGAAAGTGGAGCGAGAAGGCGCACTTTGCACTTCGCATCGGAGCCGCGCCCCGAACTCCGAGTATCTTTTTGGTACAAAGTCGAGAGAGAAAGAAAATAATTGAATTTAACATCGGTTTTAAAACCGATTCAGCCACATTTTTAGAGATAATGATCGTTGGAGGATAATTCTCCAACTTCTCCATGATCATGCGAGATATGGGGAGAAGATCGTGCGAGATATCGTGGCCTCACCCAGTATAAATACTGGGTTGAAGCCAAACCTAAAAAATACTCTCGAAAATTCAGTTTTTCTTCTCATTGATTGCTGCTCCTGTTTACTTTTTTCCTCTACCAATTTTCTGCATACACCTTGCTTTGATTTCGATATCAAAGCTATTGATATTCGAGATCCAATTCTAAATCAATCCTGGGGCTTTGCGAACCGAGCTTATACGATGGTCGTATAAAACCTTTAAGGATAGGTTTTGTACCGTGCAGATCTCTACCTTTACGTGTTTCCAGATAACCAGGTTGGTACTTCAGTTTTTTCGGCATAGTATTTAATTTTCGTTCACTTTGTGAACACTCTGCTTCTACCCTTTCTACCATTGAGTCTATCACGAAGGATAGATTCAAACCTGTGTGGGAATATTGGTTTGGTTTCGATTCTGGTCTTTAGTTTTCTATCTCGAACTATAAAGTTCTTCTATAGATCTTGGTTTTATTACTCGTTAATAAAGTTCTAAAATTTATTTATAAAAATTTAATATTATTGTTTTCTAATCCTTTTAATTAAATTTTTTCGACAGTGGATTCATGATGTGTTGGGTTTTGTTTATCAAAACGTAGGTGGTGAGAGAGGGTGTTGGTGGGTGGTGGATGGAAGTGGGGTTGAACGCCCGAAGTTGATGTTTGAAGTGAGAGGTTGACTTTGGAAGTTGTCGTCCGTGATAGGGGTGCACCAAAAATCGTCAACCCGTAAAACCCGTACAACCCAACCCGCTAACAACCCAATTAAACCCAATACGCATAACCACCAAATCGTCCACCCGTCAAACCGCTAACCCGCCAATTAGGAGGGTTGAAATTGGGTTAGGCCTAGCTCAATCCGTCCAACACGCCAAAACCGCCGCTAAGATATAATTTTTATAAAATTATATATATATATATATATATATATATATGTTTGT